TCATTTGAGGAACTATTTTGGAAAATTAGTGGGTTTGTTAAAATGAAATGTGGAATCCTGCTGCTTTTTTCCTTAAGCTTGCAAGCAGTTGAAATACTAAGATATAAAGAATGCTTATATGTTCTGTTCTTTATAGGAAGTCAATCCCTTTTCCTTTATGTGTCTGTAAGTAGTGAGGACCAATCATATATGTCCTTATTGGTTGAGGAAACAGTGAAATGGTATATTTCACTGTGAGATTTGATCCTCATTCTTTGTGCTTTGGTGCTCAGATCTGTTGGTCATGTACAAATTGAGTCTACTTGATTTCAAAGTTCCCTCTGTACCATGAAAATGCAGAGCTTCTTCACTGAAATGTATTAGCAGTTTAGAATGGTGATATCAGAGCATGGACCCAATGACATGGCCTTCCAAAGAGGAGGGCCTGTTGTCTTAGCATACAACTGAAACTCTCGATGCAGGCACTGGCTTCTAAGTTTGAGCAGCACTGCCATTAAGAATTAAGCATAATTCCTGCTGTGGTTAAGTTGCATGAATAGAAGACTCAGATGTCAAAAGCAAGAATCCAGCCTTTGCTGGGCTAGGCAAGGAATGTGCAAAGGGAGAAGACACTTTAATAATCTGGATTTCCCTGAGGAATTCAGCATCCCTGGCTTAGGAAAGCACTCTGCCTTCAGCTGCTCCTAGCAGGTAGTCTGACAACCTTGATAACTGTCTGCTCAGGGCAGGATTGGCTTGCTCAGTGCATGGCTATCTGATATTGGAGGATGCATTTAGCAGTGTTTACTAGTGAGAGCAAATGGCATAAATAGTAGATCCAATTAGTGATAACATTGTAAATGTCAGTGCACTTATGTAACTTATTTTTTACTAAGAACCATTTGTTAATATCTAGTTATAATTTTGAAAATAGAAAAATGTATTAAAAAGTCAATGTTTGTGAAAAAAGTGGTTCCTCAATTATGTGATTCAACAACAATTGTGTGTTAAAATAACTTTTCAACCACAAAGTAAGTATTCAACAAATACTGAACACTTAGAGACTCCTCTTTTGGTGCTAGAAAAATAGCCATGAAACAAGACAGACCTTCATGAGAACATATCCTAGTGGATTCCAGTGGAGCAGAGACTTGTGGTGATTAACTTTAAGATGTAAAATATACCATTCAAATGTAGTATTTGGTTTTGTTTTCTGATGTTATTTTCTCTCTCCTCTCTTTCTCCTTCAAGCAAAGTAAAACAAACTATATTGAAAAGTTACATTTTTACTATAAAGAAAATCATATTATAGGTTAGTAGAAGAAACTAGTTTTGTGATTGTTCTTTTGATTGGTGTGGTATTTTTTATTTTAGGATTTCCTTTTTTTAAATACTTTTTTATTGTAAAAATACTGTACAGAGAGGTTAGTTACCTAAGCAAGGTAATGAGTACATTTCCTATCAAGCATTGTTACCTCCTCCTTTGTTTTTCCTCTACCATCCCTTCCCTCCCATCTCCACAAATACATCCCCCGCTTTGCCTCAATTGTAAAGTTCATTTTACAACATAGTGTGTCTTGTAAATCTCATTGTTACAAGGGGTCAACCTGTAGAATGACGTCGCCCCATTTGTTAGAAAAAGGAAAGACGGGAAAAATTATATTAAGTGAAGTAAGCCAGGCCCGAAGAAACATAGGTCCCATGGTTTCCCTTATTTGTCTGGGACAAACAGAAAAGGTCAAAAGCTATGTACATATGGCCAGATAAGATAATGTTAAGTGAAATGAACCTCAAGATAGGGACACAATTGGTTTTTTTTTCTTTCTTGCTATTGTTTCTAACGTATTTATAATGTACCATGTGATTTTTTTTTCTTTGTATATTCCTCCCTCAAGGTATAACCCCTGTTTTCACTGTATTTGATGTCGGTGCCCTGCATCTTGTATATACACTTCTCTAATTTGGGAAGGGGAAGGGAAAAAACAAAATGCTTAAATTGGGATTTTCTCTTAGATAGTACTGAGTTCCTTGTGCTTGATAGGCAGGCCTCATTTTAGTTATGTTCCCACTCATTTTTCTTTTTTTGGGGGGGGGGGGGGGTCCGTCGTGGGCCCTGAACTCTGAGCCTGGGCGCTGTCCTTAGCTCTTCAGCTCAAGGCTAGCGGCTCTACCACTTGAACCACAGTGCTTTTTTTTTTTCTGCTTATGTGGTGCTGAGGAATCGAATCCAGGGCCTCATGCATGCAAGGCAAGCGCTCTACCACTGAGCCACCTTCCCAGCCCTCATTTGTCTCTTGTAATTGTTTTTATTATGGTCCCCCTTTTTATTCAGGCCAGCTTGGACTGCCAGGTAGAATGACAAGTATACACCATTATGCCTAGCTTTTTATTGATTGAGATGTGGTCTCACTAACTTTTAGCAGCAATTGGACACAAACCATCACCCCCTGATTTCTGCTTTCTGAGTGTCTAGGATTACAGGTGTGAGCTATAGTCCCAGGAATAATTTGTAATATTTATGTTCAGAATTTGTATGTTTTGTGATTTTATTATTTGTATGTTTTAAACTACTATATGTCATCCAAGGTACTATATTATTTTCTATAACATTAGCACAGGCAGGCACTAAAAATCATCCAAACAATTAAAAAGCCAGCAATAGGATACATAAAAGGCATTTAAGAGAAAAACAAAATAAGTAACACACCTGTATTTTTGTAATGTTGTAGAATGTTGAAGGCACATGTTAAAGTTTTCATAAGAGCAAAACAATGGCATTTAAGCCATTTATTTGATGCTTTATAATTTATGTCTCATGATAGAAGAATACTTGGCAGTCCTCAGATTCTTCAGATTTTTCTCCTTGGGAATATAATACAAGGAGTCTTAGAATTAACACTAAGCATTTCTAACTCCTCAAAGTTTGTGTGCCTGCTCAAGATCTCCTATTTCCTAAATCTTTTCTCCTTGTGGTTTTTATTTCAAAAAGTTGGTCAGTTATTTGTGATAGCTATAGTACACACAAGGAATTTCCTTTTTACTTTTGGTCCTGGGGCTTGAACTCAGAGGCTGGACGATATCCCTGAACTGTTGTGCTCAAGGCTTGCACTCTACTACTTGAACTACAGCTCCAATTCTAGCTTTTTGGTGGTGAATTTGAGATAAGAGTCTCACAGATTTTCATGTCCATTTTTCAACTTCCATTTCCAGATCACAGCCCACCTGACTTACTAGGATTACAGGCATGAACCATCAGTGCCTGGTAGAATGTCCCTTTTTGATTTCAAGATACACTTCTTGTATGGAACAAATAATGTACTTATTTATTGTTTTTAAAATCAATTATTAGGTAATGCAGAAGAGATCTACTATGTGTAAGTAGTATGCTGAGGGGAGATGGGGATGGGCAGTGAGAACAGAGAGACAAGATGGGAATTCCCTGGACATGTTTCCTCTACCAACAAAGGAGCGGACTCACCTTGGCTCAGCTTGTTCCCCAACACTGAAATCATTCTCCTGCTCTAGACTAATTGGAGCTCAACATTCTTCACTCACCTAGCTCTCTAGAAAGGACTTTCCAAAATGGTATAATCAAAGTTCATCACCCATCTGTACAGTGCATTATACATCTAGATGACATTAACAATTACACTCCTTCACTGATGTAATGTTCATGCTTTCATATTAGATCTATTGTGTATCCTCAAATTTCATTTGAAGTAAAATGAAAAATTTAGTTTATTTACTGGGAGCTGGTGGCTTATGGCTGTAATCCTGTCTACTCAAGAGCCTGAGATCTGAGGATCCTGGTTCAAAGCCAGCCTGAGCAAAAAAGTCAATAAGACAATTATCTACAATTTGCTAGCAAAATACCAGGAATAAACCACTCAAGTTGTAGCACACTCACCTAAAGTGAAAAAGGTAAAGGACAGCACATGGCCTCATTATTGGTATATGCTTGCATGCGCCTGAGTGTGTGCACACATATGCGGTTGTGTGCATACACTCACACACACACTCTCACACACACACACACACACACACACACACACACACACAAATTCAATTTGTTGCTTATACTGGCCACATTTTTATGTTCAAGAGCCACATGTGGTTTTCAACTATAGCACAGAGTTAGACAACCTTTGCCAGCATGCAAGTTTCCATAGGAAAGTGACTTGCTTGTTGAGGACAAAGACCACATCATTTCTCTTATTTAGAGATACAGCCAGATAGTCATCATGCTAGTGTTTATTGAAGTAAAAATTTGTGGTGTTTATGATTATATGAATATCCAGTAGAAGATGCTCAGTAGAGTCTGAAAATTCAAAAGTACTTAGAAAGATTGCATGTGTTTTCACCTGTCATGGATTTGTAGTGTGCCTGTGGAGGGCAATGATTTTTGTCTAGTTTTTAGAAAAAAATGTATTACATTTATAAGAGATTTTAGTTTCTCCTAAATATGACACACAAGGAAATCCAGCAATAAAAATATAATTTTCCAGGGCTGGGAATGTAGCTTAGTGGTAGAGTGCTTGCCTATCATTCATGAAGCCCTGGGTTCGAGTCCTCAGTACCATGTAAACAGAAAAAGCTGGAAGTGGCACTGTGGTTCAAGTAGTAGATTGCTAGCCTTGAGCAAAAGAAGCTCAAGGACAGTGCCCAGTCCCTGAGTTCAACCCCAGGCTAAAAAATTCCTTTTCCATGTCCTCTGATGACAATTTGTTTCTATCTCACTCTTTTATTTGTACCAGTTCTGAGGCTTGAACTCAGGGCTTGAGTACTGTATCTGAGATTTTGTGTTTAAGGCTAGAGCTCTACTACTTCAAACCACAGTACCTGTTTTGGCTTTTTGATTAATTGGAGCTAAGAATCTCACAGATTTTCCTGTCTAGGCTGGCTTTGTATCATGATCCTCAGATTTCAGCCTCCTGTGTAGCTAGGATTACAAACATGAGCCACTAAGCACTCTACTCTCATCTCTCTTTTTCATTATTTGTTTGTTATTGTTATTGTTTTAGAGGACTGTTGAAGTACCAGACTAATTTAGATACCCATCCTCCTGGCTGTATGAATCTCAACCGAACTCGATACCAGGAAGTCTTACTGGGGAACCTCCCACAATATTTTCCTGACTCTTCACTGGGAGGGTTTTCCACACTGGAAGAGCCTAATCAGAACACACTTGTGAAGATTTGTGTGGAAGAGCCCAGGTTCCAAGCTAACTTTCCACAGGTCAGAGTCCTGCTGTATTCTGTCTCTGCAAAGTTTATGGTTTCATACAATTAACCAACATCAATTTAAACATTTTTAAAGCTGTTGTTTCACATGCTTTGATGTCCAGTTCCTACTTGTAAGTCCATGGTGACCATTTAACAGTTCAAGACAAAAGACTTTTGATATTTAAGAATATACAACATTTCTGCCTAGCTATATAATATTTGTATGCTATGTTATTAGGGATTGCTACTAGAGAGCTAACAAATACATCTTCCCAATTCATGGAGAAAAGCAGTTTAATTAAAAACAATGCTAAGCTAACTATTCATATAATACATAATGTTATAAATAATAAATAGTAAAATGAATTTTATTAAATGCTTAATATTATCTGCTAAGAACTATGCTGAAATTTTCCATAGGCATAATTTCTTTCAGTATTCACACTAGTATCCTAAGTTTGCTGATGACAAAATACAGCTTAACTGCATAAATACCTTGACTGAGGCTTCCAAGCTAGTAAGTAAAAGTTGCCTGCAAACCTGTGTCTTAAATTTTTTCCCATAGTAAAACATTCCCTAGTACCTGGCTTTTTTCCATTAAGTTCTTTGTCTCCCTTATATATCCATGTATGGGTCACACTGTGTATTCTGTATGTACTGCACCAGGCACTGATATATGAGTCAAAGTTTGCTTTACAAGGGAGGAAGAAATGAAAGACTGGAATGAAATTATTGATGACTTGTGGAGTGTGTGTGTGTGTGTGTGTGTGTGTGTGTGTGTGTGTGCTTGACCTAGGGATTGAGCTCAGGGCCTGGGTGATGTCCCTGGGCTTTTGTGCTCAAATTTAGTGTCCTACCACTTGAACCATAACTCCACTCTAGCTTTTTGATAGTTAATAGGCGATAAGCATCTCATGGACTTTCCTACCCCAACTGGCTTTGAACTATGATCCTTAGAGCTCAGCCTCTAGTTGCTCAGTTTCCTGCACAACTAGAATTACAGACATGAGCCACCAGCTGGTTTGTTGATGACTTTTGAAGAAGTATGCTAATTTTCTGCTATTAATAATAATCCTCTGATTATCTATTAGAGTTTACTGTTATCAAAACTTACGAGCTTCAACGAGTGCTGAATATTAAAAAAGGCAAGTATGGAGAGTCCCATATGAGGAAGTTGGGACCTGATGTTGCAAGGTTTCATGGGTACTATGCAACAGGCTCTCCCTGTCCTGCTTTCTCTTCATCTACTGCCAGGCTAAATGTCACTGTGTAGAGAAACATGCTCTATCCTCAACAAAGGAGGAAAGCCTTCTGAAGCTATGCACATAAGATTTTAAGTAGTGATCTATAAAATTCAGTTTAGTTTAGAGACTCAAAGAGCCAAGGGAGACACAGGTAGTATTCACTTCCATGTAACTAGAGCTCTCTTCTTCCCTGTTTAAATTGTCACAGTGTTTACATGAAGGTATTTTTAGTCCATAGAATGAAAATCTGTAAAAAAAATTTCCTACAATATCCTATTTGACAAAACATTCATATGTATACATTCCTGTAACTTGTAAAATTTATGTTATGCATTTACATACATTTTAGATGAATTAAAATACCCAGAGCAGCCAGGCACCTTTGGCTCACACCTGTAATCCTAGCTACTCAGGAGGCCGAGATCTGAGGCTTATGGTTCAAAGCCAATCCAGGCAGGAAATTCCTTAGATGCTTATCTAAATAACCACTGAAAACTAGAAGGGGAGTTATGATTCAAATGCTAGAGTGTTAGCCTGGAGCAAAAAAACCCCAGAGATAGAGCCCAGGGTCCTAGTTCAAGCCTCACAAAAATTATCTAGAACTTTTTTGTTTTTACTGAACTTTAGACTGGTACTTTTTTTTAATCTTAAAGTCATCCTCAGATAAATATGGGGGTTTGCTTTTTAAAAATTATCTTTTAGAGGAGGCTACAATGCTTGATAAGAAATGTACTCATTATCTTGCCCATGTAATTGTAACCCCTCTGTACAGTATTTTCACAATAAAAAAATTAAAATTATCTTTTAGCCATCATTAGTGACTCACGCCTGTAATCGTAGCTATTCAGGAGGCTGAGATCTAAGGATTGCAGTTCAAAGCCAGTCCAGGCAGGAAAAGTGAGACTCTTATCTCCAATAAAACTACCAGAAAACTGGAAATGGCACTGTGACTCAAGTAGTAGAGTGCTCACCTTGAGCTGAAGAGCTGAGGTGAGGGAGAGTGCCCAGGCCCAGAGTTCAAGCCTCACAACCAACAACAACAACAACAATTCTTTTTTAAGGGAAGGCATTATGTATATACATCTCATATTTGTGTGTAAGAAAGGAGAATGGAAGGATGAATACTTTCCTATTGCTAGACACTGGTGGCTAATGCCTGGAATCCTAGTTCTTTAGGCTTGTGGCCCAAAGCCAGTGTCAGCAGAAAAGTTGGTGGAAATCTTATCTCTAATTTACTAGCAAAATACAGACTGTGACTCCAGTGGTCAGCTCCAGCTTTAAGAGAAAATCTAAGGGACAGTGCTCAGGCCCTAAGTTCAAGTCCCAGTATGGACACACACACACACACACACACACACACACACACACATACAAATTCTTCACTATTAAGGGCACTCACTTGGAGAATAGACTTGGGTTGAGTCTCAACAATTCTCTTATTGTATACTTTACTTTTCATTGGATTAATTGCAGGTATCATCTACTATCTCTTATTCATTTTTATGACTGTGAAAATATAAATTAAAATATTGTTACTGAAATGAGGAAAATAAGCCATCAAACAGAAAATACATTTTTTGACAATCCAGGTATTCTTTAAAGAGTTATTGTAACATTTATCCTTTTAGACGTGGCTTTGGATTTCTGGACCTTTGTGCCTCTACTGTGCTGAAAGACTTTATAGGTGCCTCCGGAGCAATAAGCCTGTCACCATTGTCTCTGTTATTAGTCATCCCTCAGATGTCATAGAAATTCGAATGGTCAAAGAAAATTTTAAAGCAAGACCTGGCCAGGTGAGTCAATCAATATCTTTGTGCAAAGCAAGTAGATATCACCTTGTTAGAATTGCTGAGCTTCTTCAATTGGTCATTTAAAATGATGTTTTTTGCTTTTTCAGTACATTATTCTACATTGTCCGAGTGTGTCTGCATTAGAAAACCATCCATTTACACTAACAATGGTAAGGCGTTTGTTTTTAACTTTTAAAAACCTTAGGAGTGTAGTAATTTTTTTTGTATGTGCTACATTTTATTAAAAAAATATTGAGTTCTTCCAATTGCCTTAATGTTTAAGCCTTATTTTACAAATGAGTGTTTGTTGAGAAGCTTTGTAATTATTCCTTACATTTTCTGACACCTTATAATTTAGGAATGCATTTATTTAAGATTTATTAGCACTTTTGTGGATCCAAAATACAGAAAATTTCTTAACTATTTTTACTTACCCTTTTATGGATTATGTATGGAAATGTAATAGATACATCAGTTTCTTAGAGAGATAGAACTAAATACAAATAAGATACCCTGGGTAGAGTAGATATGTCAGAGAAAATCTAGCCAGTATTTAGAAAACGTAAGTCTAATGGCGTTGGCACTCAAGCTACACATTGGGAGAGTCAAACTAGAATAGAATAATAAAAGTAATGGGAAAATTCTAGCTAAATGATGGATACCATATATGGTTAGCCTATTTACTATTTTAACATTTCAAATATTATATTATTATTCTTCATTACAATTATTTTTATTTATAATTATTTTAAATTATATTTTTACTCTCTTTTAGTTGAATAAATGGGTTACCATTCAACAAATCAGTTGACAAGTGCAATGACTCTTGATCAATATCACCACTTTCATCATTCCCCCCTGTCCCTCCCAACCCAGCCCCTCCCCTTATTTATTTTACTGTTTTATTTTTACATAGGGTTTTGTTGTATAGCTGGCCTCATGAGGCCTAAAGAGGCCTTCTGAGCGCTGACATTTCAAGTATACACTACCATGATTAACTTAACTTTCAAATAACTTACACAGATACATATACACCTCCCCACCCCCCACTTACCCACAGGGAAAAAATTCTTTCCTTTCTTCCCCTCCTCCCTCCCTCCCTTCCTCCCTTCCTTCCTTCTTCCCTTCCTTCCTTCCTTCCTTCCTTTCTTCCTTCCTTCCTTCCTTCCTCCCTTCCTTCCTTCTTTCTTTTATTTTTTGGCAGTATATTGGGTTCAACTCATGGTCTTACACTGTCTCAGCTTGTTTGGCTGAATCTCTACCACTTAAGTCAAACTTCTGGCTTTGAAACATGATCTTCCAGATGTTAGTTTCCTGAGTAGCTAGGATTAGAGGTGTGAACCATCAATACCTGGCTAAAATTGACACTTTTCTTGATTATTTTCCTATTCCAGCACTTTTCTCCAGAATGTTTTCCTATCTGAATGGACATTTGTAGGAGTGTGACATTTGTTTCCTGGATCATATGGTTCTGTGATTGGCTCTCTTCACTGAACAATGAATCACAGATAATTTTTTATGAGATGTTAATTTTTTATGCCTTGTGCTTTTTAGTGTCTCTGTGATATTCCTTAGTAGGTAAATCCTGTAATTTATTAACATTCCCATCAATGGTAATATGTTTGTTTTTATTAACTTACTAACAAAGATCAATAAGAATAAGAATTCTCCATTTAATTGTGTGTGTTAAGAGAACAAAATTGGATGAGTTAGAGAAAGGAAAAAGAATGTCAAAATGCTGCAGTTTAGGGATATGATTAGTTTAAAATAGGAATTAGTTTCAAAGTGGATGTATTAATCCAGTTGAAAACTCCAAAATCATTGGAAGTAGAGCTGTAGTTCAAAGTGGTAGAACGCTAGCCTGTAGCAAAAGAGCTCAGGGATAGTGCCCAGGCCCTGAGTTCAAGCCCCACAACTGAAAAAAAATCCAAAACTCTGGCAAGTAATTTCACCTTTTTTTACACATTTGGTTCTCAGTGTAATATTGGAGTGAAAACAATATAATTCCAGACTTGTTAAGTGAAAGTCAACTACAGGGATCAACACCATAGCAAGATCACAAGAAATGTCAATATAAAGATTTGTAGCAACAATGATGGTTTTTATTTCCCATATGTGTCTGTGCTATGAAAACATCCAGGAAAAGGGCAAAAACACCTACCATGGGGTAGAACTGAGTCATAAATGCTCCCTGGGAGTGATGAGAGATGATTACACACCTCTTTTATCTGGTGCTGTGTGGGCTGCTAACTGGTGTGAAAGGAGAATGTCGTCATGAATAACAGTGAGAACTTCATTGCTTGAATGGAATGTAACACTTTGGGGCTCAGAGTCCTTGGAGCAGGAGCCTGTAGTCATGTCATGACCTTTCTGAGGTCATTCTTGCCCCAAATGAACAGCAAGAAGTGTCATGAATATAGAACAATCATTCTTAGGGCTTGGGTTTATTGTTTTACCTTGACCATTCTAAAATATTTTTCTGTTTCTCTTCATTCATCCATCCCATAAACTTGACATTTATATCACAAAATAAGAAAACTTGAAAAAGGAGAAACTATATAAGTAAATTTGTCTTTATTAAAGTCATTTAAGAAATTTGGTCTGATCTTAGTCATAAAAATCCTTTTCTGTGTTTGAGATTTTATTTTGAAAATTTTTTCTTTCCTGTGGCACTAAATAGATTGTATGGTCTTTAAAAAGAAAGCAGTACTGACCTGAGAGCCAAGCCAAGTACAGAGAAGTTAAAAAAAACTTGTCTAAAATAAAAATATTTTCCATCATCCTTTCCTTCCCACCCTCCCTCCCTCCCTCCTTCCCTCCCTTCCTCCTTCCATCTCTCTCTACTCCCTTCCCTTCCCTTCGTTTTCTCCAATAATAGCACTCTATCACTTGAGCCACAGCTCCACTTCGGAGGTTAATTGAACCTAAGAATCTTATGGACTTTCTTATCTGGGTTGGCTTTGAACCATGATCCTCAGATTTGAGCCTCTGAGTAAAGGCATGAGCCACTGAAAACTATCCTCACCCACTTTTGATCTTGATTATGGCAGAGTTGTGATGGCTCTGAAGCTGGCTTGAGACAGATAGAAAATTAAGGGGAAGAAGAAGACATAGGGAACAGAAGTATAAAAAATAGGCTGAATATTGAAGAATTAGGAAGCAATTTATATGTGAAATACAGAGATAGTGAACCTTTACAGGAAAGAGCTGGCTTAGAAAATAGTCTTAACTCTACCACTAGTTCCTATTGTATATGTGTGTGCCTCATTATAATGACTAAGTCGCAGATTTATTATATACAAAATAGTGCTAATGAGATTTGTCTTCTAGAGATACTGTCAATATCAGGTTAATAAAACAAACAGTACAAGTCCTGGATACAGTTTGTTGTTGGTATATGGAAGCTACATTATTATTACTCTGATAATATTAAAATACTTGCTTTTAATTTTTATTATTTCCTTTATTTTTAAAATCAGGATTTTTTTATGAAAAGCAAAATGGCATGAGTATGTAGTATTTATTTATTTATTTATTTATTTATTTATTTGTCAGTTGTGAGGCTTGAACTCTGGGCTTGGGCACTGTCCCTGCCCTCTACTGGTTGAGCCATGATGCCACGTCCATTTTTCTAGTGGTTTATTGGAGATAAGAATCTCATGGACTTTTCTTCCTGGGCTGGCTTTGAACCTTGATCCTCAGATCTCAGCCTCCTGAGTAGCTAGGATTACAGGATTGAGCCAATGATGCCCAGCGGTATGTAGTCTTCCAACCTGAAAATGAGCATCTTTGGGGACTTTGTAGTCAATGTACCTGAAAACCTGTTGTGGAGATGAAGGATTCTATTTTCCTCACACTTTGAGATCTCAAGATATAGACATACAAATAAAACTCATGGACAAAAAACAAGCCCCCCCAAAAACTTTAGAAAAGTATGTTTTGATTGAATATAATATACATGTTTCTAACAATAACAAACAGGAATTTCAGAACTTCTCTCCCAGAAGTGTTTTCTGAAGTACATCCAGATTTTTCAATGGGCCTCAGCATGATTGGTATTTTGGGTTAGATAGTTTAGGGGTTCTTATTATTCTGCATATTATGGGATATTTAGTAGCCCCTTTATCCTCCACTTGGTAGATGCTAATAGTACTTCCTTCAGTAATGACTCCTTACATAACTAAGTGCCCCCTGAGAACAGCATTACTTTAATGAGAACCACTCTGAGACAACAGTGGTTGTCCAACAGAGCTTAAGAATACTTAAGAGCTCCAAGGAATTCTTCTTTGAGGTGTTTGTAAAGAAATAATAGGCTAAAAATATCAAATAAAATAAATAAATTAAGAGAGAATTTAGGATACAATAGAAAAACTAGAGGGTAGGGAGCCATGCATCAGGGGCTCCCACTTAAGATTCTAGCTATTCAAGAGGCTAAGATCTGAGAATTGCGTCTCAAAACCAGCGAAGAAATATCTATGAGACTCTTATCTCCTACTAACCGCCAAAAAACCCCAAAGTTAAGCTATGGCTGAAGTGCTAGAGAGCCAGCCTTGAGTGAAAATGCCAAGAAAGAATACCTAGGCTCTGAGTTTGCATACATGTACGTGCATGCACGTGTGTGTGTGTGTGTGTGGCATGCACACACACACACACACACACACATATTTGTCTACAAATGGTGTCTGGCTTATTTATCTGGAAATCTTCTTTCTTTCTTTTTTTCTTATTTTATAGTTTTGTTATAAAGTTGATGTACAGAGGGGTTGCAGTTACATAAGTCAGATGAGTACATTTCTTTTTGAATAGTGTCACCTTTTTCCTCATTTTCTTCCTATGTTTTTCCTTCTCAATCCCTCTCCCCAAGTTCTACAATTCATTTTCAACAGTGTTACTGAGTCTCACTACTGAATTAGTTCACCCTTTGTTCCACCATTTCTGTGCTCCCCCTTCCTCTCCCCAAATCAAATAAACTTACATAGAAGACAAAAGGTAAAGGAATCATAAACAGTGACAAAAGGAGAAAATGAGAAAAAAAAATAACCCCACAAAATGTAAAAAAAAAAAAACCTCTTGTTTCTGTTTTTTGAAGTTCATTTTATTAAACATCATTTTATATGATCATATGCACATAGCTATTGAGCCTTTTTAAACGTCTCATGTCCAAGAGTGT